TATTATCTTAAAAATGTGTTCAGAGTTTCCATTATTCCAGATATTTATGCTGTATTTATTATAAAAAATTATTTTAAATAATGTACTAACTAAAATACTTAGGTTTTGACCTCTGGTTTGACCTTGTGGGAAGACATGCTGTGTTTACTCTGTGTCTGTACATACCCTGGCACACTGCAACCTCCACCTAGAGTTACTCAAATCTCAAATCTTGATTTGAGTTGAATAATTCCAAAGACCCTCAAGAGTTTAATAATAGGTGTTAGAACATAGCAGCAAGCACACCACCTGAGGAGTGTGCCAAAACTTGAAGTTAGCCAGTTCAAGATAGGTGGTGGCTTTCCAGAGGCGTTTAATGACCTAAGAGCAGAAGTAGTGCATGGTGGGTACTGATTTGTCCTAGGGTTAGTATAGTAATATGTATTGGGTGCTTGCAATGTGACAGGTCTGGAACCACTATGCTATCGTGCAGGAAGGAAACACTGGGATCATAAAACATTTCTTCTCTCTCAGAAGTTCATAGCAGCTAAGGGCATCTGGCTAGGTTTGATAGGGAACATAAGGATTATAAAATACAGTAGTCCCCTCTTATTCATGGTTTTGCTTTCTGAGGTTTCAGTTAACCGTGGTCAATTGTGGTCCAAAAATATTTAATAAAGAATTCCATAAATAAACAATTCCTTGTGGTCCAAAAATATTTAATAAAGAATTCCATAAATAAACAATTCATAGATTTTAAATTGTGTGGGGGTTTTAGTGGCATAATTTTAAAAAATGATGGAAATGCTCAGGACACCCTGACACACTTCATTAAAACATGGGGCTCTTTTATGGGAACCTGACTTAGTAATGTTGAAGAGGCAAAGGTAGTGAGGAAGTATCTCTAACCTCTCAACCGCCCGCCCCCCCCCCCCCTGCCTGCACCTTAGGTCTTGCCCAGAGCCAGCGTTCACCAATAGGATTTATTTATTTACTGAATTTGTCATGCAAATATAAATACCCCCCACTCCCTTTAGAGGGTACGCAGTTTGGATCTGGCAAATTGAAAAGCAAGGGTTGAGATGCATAGTGGTGATTTCTGAACTGGGAAATTTCTGAATTCTCTTTATCTTTCTTTTAGTTTACACTGAGCCTTGAAAGGGGTGGGGGGATTCTTTCACATACTTGAATGGGTGTTGGAAGCTGTTAACTGGTGGTTAGAACTGGGAGGGTTGGAGGGAACTTTCCTCCCCCATTTTTTAAAGTTTGGCTGTAGGTCTTTCTGCCCGCAGGCTACAGTCACATTAGTGGTTGGAAATTGGATAAGGACAGCACAATGACAAATCCAGGTTGCTTGCAATAAGTTGCTAATCCCTTTGCTTTAATATCGGAGCAGCGTATAATGATGTTTGGACATCACTCCAGTTTACTGACGACCCCACTGGGGCCAGCAATAGAACCTTACAACTGTCTAACAAGGTGTCAGGTGACTCCCGTCGTCACAGCAACGGACACTGGAATCTAATCTTCCCTCCATCCCTTCTAGCACCCAATAACGCCTAGATTATATAAGTGGCCCATCATTGCTTGGTAACTTGAATCAATTAACGTTAATTCGCACAATGCTATGATGTATTGTGATCACTTTCATTTCAGGGAAGGGGGAGAAATTGCTATAAGTCACCTAAAATGAGGTTGTCTGTGGTGCTGAGGTATTAATTGGGTGTCCATATTAAATGCAAAAGGAGCCCCATCGTGAAAGGAAAGTGGATGAGTGACTCTCTTGGCTGCTATTGACCTATCAGAAGAAGACAGTGCCCTTTTCCTTTGCTTTTATCTATTACAGTTTTCCCTATTGCGTGTCAAGTTGATGTATTATAAAAAATTCATTTGGTGACCTTTCACCCCCTTAGCAGATTAAACAATTTCACTTCGATGGCATCATTAACAGGACCCTGCATTTAATGATGATTTCTCTAAAAGGCCACGGAGATTCGATTTTAAGCTAACAGATTTATTGCACTATTATAACATATCGTAAAAAACTGTACCACCTACGGTCAGGTTTTAGGATAGAAACTGCTTAAGAGTTTATGTGGAGTTTAAAGTGGTATTACCTTGGGATATGCTGTAGCAGCAAGTCTCTGACCTCCAGTGAGATGCTGTTTACATTTAATAAGAGATGTTTGCTCACAATAAACTTTAAAGTGTGTCAGGGGCAGGCCTTTCAGCGGGTGTTCAGGCAGTTGGTTCCCGTCCCTTCGTCTGCAGACATCAGTGTTCTTGTGTCAGGATCTTTGATGGAGCCTTTCAGTTTCTTTAGCCCACGCTGCTGGCCTAAATTCTGTCCCGCACCAGAAAGCATTTAAGAACTAGGTTAGGGGAGAAATAGGAGCTGGTAACAATGTTAGAATTTTCCAATAACCTGGGACCCATAGAAGAATAGAAGTAATAGCATATATATTTTTAAAATCTGTTTTAAATTATTCCCTTTAAAAAAATTAAAAGGGGGCCTTGCCCACTCAGGTTAAGCAAACTAATAAATGGTGATGGGGCTATTGTGTGTTCAATTTCCAGTGAGCATCTGTAGCACAGGTCAGAGCCTTAGCTGGGAGATGACCAAAGGGGGCTCTTAGGACTACTCTGCCCCATATCCCAGAATTCTTGGAGGGGAGGGAAATTGCTTCCTACAGAAACTTCATAGTTCGTGATCCACTGTATTTCCTCTTTCTAGGGTTGATTGTCACTTTTATCTGACATACACCTTCCATGCCAAATAAATATTTTATTCTTTTCTCCTCACATACATACACAAATTAAAATAAAAGGTTGGGAATAAAGTATCTGATTCAAGCATTTAATTGATGGCAGGATAAGCTACTTTTAAAAGAAATCAAATCTTTTTTTTTTTGTTAGACTTGACTTAAGTTGTATAGAGGATAAGTCACTATGGGATGTTCTATATTAGGGTAATATATGTGATATATGATGTTTATCTTTTAAGTTTCCATTTAATTGCTAAACATCTGTTATATGCCTATGATGTATAGTACATAATAGGCTTGATCCTATATAATAAAAGCCCAGCAACCAAAGGGCGGAATGACCAGAACGACCGGTTGATCAGTCACTATGACATACACTGACCAACAGGGGACAGACGCTCAACACAGGAGCTGCCCCCTGGTGGTCAGCGCGCTCCCACAGTAGGAGCAGCCACTCAGAGGGTGGGTCCACAGTCACTTGGGGATGAGCACTGCTTCCACAGCCGGCCTATCCCTGCAGGCCATGCCCCAACAAGTGCATGAATCCCATGTACTGGGCTTCTAGTAGATATATAATCTATAATGTTCTTCTTAAATGTTTTTATTAATTTGAGAGAGAGAGAGGGAAAGAGAAACATCGCTAAGAGAGAAGCATCAATCAGCTGCCTCCTGCATGCTTTCTACTAGGGATTGAGCAGGCAACCTGAGTATGTGCCCTGACTGGCAATCAAGCAGGTGACCTTTTGGTGCAGGGGATGACACTTACCCAAACGAGCCACACTAGCCAGGGCTATAATGTTCTCTTAATAAAGCTATCTTGGTCATCAAAAATACCAGAGCTTTTGGAAAAACATGTTTTAAGGTGTCATGAATTATATAACCATTTTATTTTATTTATTCTAGTTTATGGCTAAGTCACATCAGCAATTAATGCGCCTGAAAGGGGTGAGAAACAATATAGCTCATTGGTAAATTGTTCTAGACCTCGGTCATGAATGTACTATTTGTAAGACCTTTGGCAGATTACTTTAGTCCAGTGGTTCTCAACCTTCTGGCCCTTTAAATACAGTTCCTCATGCTGTGACCCAACCATAAAATTATTTTCGTTGCTACTTCATAACTGTCATGTTGCTACTGTTATGAATCGTAATGTAAATATCTGATATGCAGGATGGTCTTAGGCGACCCCTGTGAAAGGGTCGTTCAACCGCCAAAGGGGTCGCGACCCACAGGTTGAGAACCGCTGCTTTAGTCCTTTTGGACCTCAGTTTCTTCATGTATAAATAAGAGTACCTACCTCACAGTGTCATTTTAAGATGCGATGAGTTTATACAAGGAAAGCTTAGAATAGTACCTGGTACAGAGTACTCAGCATATATTAATTATGAGTATTATTCTCCCCAAAGGCTTCATTCATTAAAATTTAAAAATCAGTTAATTCCATGGTTATTGAACCTATTTAGTGCAAGCACAGTATGGAGATGACAAGTATGGAAGGGCTGTTGTGGGGACTAAATGAGCTATTCCATGTCTAACAGCTGTGCTGGGGCTTTGCTCTCAGGCATCTCCTCTCAGCTCCCAGTGATGTCATCATGGTACCAGAATCAGCCATGGAGAAAGTATTCATACCATGGGAACTGGAAAACACTAGGCATCAGGGTCTTTGAGGGGAGAGCTGGTTCACTGGCATACTACCGAACATATCCCCACTGTCTAAGTCTTATAATCTGCTAAATTCCTTCACTGGGGTCTTTGGGGAGCTTATATCATTAAACTGTGATAAAAATATAAGTTCATAATTAGTGCTTCTGCCCCCACCCCCTCACACCCAGTCCATTCTTTACCATGGCTTAGCAAAGATTTATATATATAAAAGCCAAACAACCAGAACTATGGATCGACTGGAATGACCAGAAAAACCGGTCGCTATGACGCACACCACTTCTGCCCCCACCCCCACCGTCCCCATTCCTGATTGGCAATCCCCTATTGGGGGCGGGGGTGTCCAACCTCCCTCATCCCCTCCCCCCACCGACCCAACCCAATCGGCCCCCATCGAATTTGAGCACCAGGCTTCTAGTGTTAAATAAAAATGTAATTATTATTCAGTTACAATGTAATGTTCACTACAAAGTGTATTATTTTCTAGATTCAAAGGCAGATATTTTCACTGCTAATAATGGATTATGGCAAATAGCTACTACAGTAATATTTGTAAGCTTATGGCTTTATTCCATTTTGTTTTACATGTGCCAGAAATACAAGCAATTTTAAAACTGGGAACTCGATATATATTCGGCCCTATGCTCTTTCAGTCCTAGTCCAGCCTTCAGATGGAGAAGTGGGGAAAGAACTTCCAGTACAACCACAGCTCATTTTTCTGGACAAGCAGGTAACTTGTTCATGGGTGATCCTTAAAGCTGGGTAACATGTACTCAGTGCAGATTCCATTGTCATGGTACATACTTAAAGAATGCCTCCTGGGTGACAGTTGCTGCGCTTAGAACTTCTCGTGACTTCTGTCATCCTCCTTCCACTTCATGGCTTGCTTTCCTTCTGCTTCATATGGATGCCCAGATTTTGATTAAGAGTAAAAATAAAATTTGGATAATTTTCCTCCCCAAGCAAATTCTTGAAGTAGATCTCTAATATCTTCTCGGAAATCTGACCTTCTCAAAGAGGTAGAACTATATCTGAAGAAGTCATTTCATATGCTAATGAAGTAATTCATGCCATCACATCTGCATTATAGTTTTGTAGAATTTTTTTTTTGTAGGATTTTTTTAATCTTTATTGCTTTCCACTTTTATGTTACTTTAAATGATTTCTCTCATAGGTGGTTAAGCAAATCATTAACAACAGGTTTCACTGCTTAATTCTAATTTCAATGGCCATGCCCTCTGTTTCTATTTTATCTTTTCTGTATTTACTAAAGTTATGGAAGAAAATAAAGTGAAATAAGCTAATTAAATCTGCTTTCCACTCTTTACTTTTAAAATGCATTCCCTGACCTGTATGCAGAGGAACAGAGGCCATAGGACTGAAGTCCACATTTGCAAACCTGAACTTTGAACTCATCCATTTCTCTCCCACTTTCTTCTCTTGACTTTGCCTTCCTTAGTAACCGGCAGCACAGAATGCACTGTCCTCTCCTACAGACATGGCTTTCCTGCCTCCTCTTCACTGCTTCAACTTTTTCAGTAATAATATCCCTTCTCTTCTCTCAATATGCTAATCATGATATATTCTTAACATGAGAAAGAAAATGCTTATTTGTAATTTTTTTTCCTTTGCTTGTTTGTACTGAATTTGTGCTTTATGCAAGATTCTATTCTAAATTCTCTTCTTTTATAGATAATTTCACAGATTCTCTTCTGAATCCAACTTTTACTGTGGTTTTTCCCCACCCTGTTCTCAGAATCGGAGAGTAGAGTCCTTGGGGCTGCCATCAGAGCCTTGGGCCGTTTCTGTTTCCCTGGAAGGGACTTCAGATTCAGTGCTGAAAGGTAGGTATCGGTGACATTCCGAGACCCGTTACTACTGCATCTGCACAGAAAATGTTTGCCGCCATTAGGGATTCATAGCAAGGTCAAGTACACTCAGTATCTTCAGTGATTTGAAAGGAACATCCATCATCCCCACTCTACAATGCCAGTGTTTGTGAAAAGAAAGTTTGGCTGACAGTAAATACTTAAGGAAACACCTCCTCCTCTCCCCTCCTTTGCATGATGAAGGAGCATTTTTGTCATGGCCAGATCCCCAATGTGGTGTAAGGAGAAGAGCATGTCCTCTAAGACAAATGATTCTTTAGTACAGTGTCATGGACTGGCCCAGGGAGCAAGTCACCCATACAAGGTGGTTTCTATGGAGAAACACTGGCTCAGTGATAGGAAGAATAAATGTGATGGCAAATGCAAAACACCCAGCCCAGAGCAAAAACTCAGGTTCATTTTTCCCTCTCCACTTTTCTTTGTCTTCTGTTAGCTTCCTGTGCGGTCTGAGTACCACTGCTTTGCTTCATTTACTTTCCCTATACCATGTGCATGTGAAAATTAAAAAAAAAACACATCATTTTATTTTTTACTTCTATGAATTTGAATATTTTAGATACCTCATATAGGTAAAATCATACAATATTTGTCCCTCTGTGACTGGCTTATTTTCTTGGAATAATGTTCTCAAGATTCATCCAAGTTGTCACATATTTTAGAATTGCCTTTTTTTAAAGGCTGAATAGTAGTATTTCATTGTATGTGTATTCCACGTTTTCTTTACCTATTTGTCTGTTGATTGACATTTAGATTGTTTCCATTTCTTGGCAAGTGTGAGGAGCACTGCAATGAACAGGGGATGCACCTATCTTTTGCAATCCTGATTTAAATTCTTTTGCATACATACCTAGAAGAGGGCTTGCTGCATCATATTTCTATTTTTAATTTTGTGAGGAACCTCCATAGTGTTTTCCATAGCAGCTGCACCATTTTGCATTCCCACCAACAATGCACAAGAGTTTGTTTTCTACATCCTCACCAACAATTACTGTCTTTGGGTATTTTGATAATACTAGCCATCTTAATAGGTTTAACATAATATCTCATTTTATTTTGATTTGCATTTCCCTGATTATTAGTGATATTGAGCATCTTTTCATATACCTGTTGGCCATTTGTAGGTCTTCTTTGGAGAAATGTCTATTGAAGTCTTTAGTCTATTTTTAAATCATATTATTTGTTTGTTTGTTTGTTTGTTTGCTATTAATTTGGAGGAGTTCCTTATATATTTTGGAAATTAACCCTTATCAGAAATACGGCTTGCATATATTTTCTCCCATTCTGTAGTTTGCCTTTTCACTCTGTTTATTGTTTGCTTTGGTATGCTTAAGATATTTAGTTTGATATTATCTCACTTGTCTAATTCTGTTTAAGATGTCCAAATGATTCACAGATTCAATTTAATCTATATCAAAATTTCAATAACATTTCTTACAGAAACATTTTTAAAAATTATAAAATTCATATGGAACCACAAAAAAATTCCAAAAGACAAAAATAATCTTCAAAAAGAAAAACAAAACAGGCATCACATGCCTGATTTTCAAAATATATGACAAAACTATCCTATATAATAAAAGGCTAATATTCAAATTGTCCCCTCGGAGTTCAACGACCGGGAGTTCGACTGCTCTCTATGATGTGTGCTGACCACTAGGAACGACGCAGAACAAAGGAAGGCCCCAACCGGCCCTATTCACCAGCCAGGCCTAGGGACCCTACCCATGCACAAATTTTGTGTATGGGGCCTCTAGTCTATATATATAAAAGGCTAAGTGACCAACCATACATCTGTCCGATCATCCAACCAACTGGCTGGTACATATGACGTGCACTGGCAATTTAAAAATAAACATTGACTCTCACGCATGCGCGATACATATAAAGCTCTTGCTGGTGCCAATTGTGTGTAATGCCAGAATGTATCTGAAGACCAACTATTGGCACTTTGTTGTTGATATATCATGTTGTTATTTATTAATCAATTTATATGTTATTTTCAGATATATTTTACTAATTTTATTTCATCTCTGACACTTCTATTATGGAGAAAGGATGAATAGCGATATTAAAATATTTTGTATTTTAATTTTATAATACTATATATACTATTTTGATATGTAATTTTTGGCAGTAACATAATTACCGCACGAATCTTTCTTCTAATTAACTTCCTTTCAATGTGCAGGAATCCATGCACCAGGCCACCAGTATTAAATAAAATAGTATGGTACTTGCATAAAGGCATACTTTATAGATCAAAGGAACACAATAGAGATTCCAAAAATAAGTCCATGTGCATATGGTCAACTGTAATCCAACAAGGGAGCCAAGGATACATTGATGAGAGGATGGTCTCATCAACAAATGGTGTTGGGGAAACTGGATATTCACAAGCTAAAGAATAAAGTTGGACCATTGTTTTACACCATACAGAAAAAAAAAATCAAATCAATGAAAAACAGATTAAAGTCTTAAATATAAGACCTGAAACTTTAAACTCCTAGAAGAAAACAGACGAAAAGCTTGTTGATGTTGGTCTTGGCAATGATTTCATAGATATGGCATCTAAGCACAGGCAACACTAGCAAAATTAGAGAATGTATTGATAACTTTGTAAAAAAATAGCTTATTAGATTGCTTATGCATAAACCAATTAAGATATTTTTATTGGTTTGGATTTTCTCAAACTTATAATTTTTTTTCCAAACTTGTAAATGACTCACCTACCAGTACAAACATCAGCCTATCTACAAAATTTTTGGTTTCCAAGAAAAAGTCATTATTTTATAGTTATTTCTTGTCTACTCAGGCTATGAGTCTAAGCTCATGCACATGACTCTTGTAAAGTATGTGAAATGCTAAAATGTATAGGAAAAAGCCCATTATAGAAGTGCTACATCTTGCCTCTCCTGCTAATTGCATTTATTTTGGCCTAAATTATTTCTAGTGTCTGAAATATAACACCTGCCTCTCCTGAGGATATTGTATTTTCATTCTTTTGTTACTTGTCTCTATAAAAGGAAATACAAAATTGTTTTGATAAAGTTTCCAAGAAAATGAATTCTCATTCAACACAGTTTTTAATAAGTTAATCTCAGGATTTTTTTTAAATCAGTGTATTATTTAGCTTATAGTTTTTGTGCTAAGCTGTACCTCATCAATTCCAGAAAACAGGACTAGCCACAGATATAGCCCCTTTTGAAAATTTTTCTTGAGGAGGCAATCGACATAGCTGATTAGATATTTCATAGTCAAAACTCTTATTTAAATTTTGTTTCATTCTGTTGTTTTCTTATTGGAGCTATAAATTTGACTGCTATCTCTTTTCAAGTTGCCTTTCAACTATTTTGACCTGTAAATTTCCTACTCTATTAACTTACTTATTAAGAAATCAAAGCTTTTGCAGAAGCCGGTTTGGCTCAGTGGATAGAGCGTCGGCCTGTAGACTGAAGGGTCCCGGGTTCAATTCCGGTCAAGGGCATGTACCTGGGTTGCAGGCACATCACCAGTAGGAGATGTGCAGGAGGCAGCTGATCGATGTTTCTCTCTCATCGATGTTTCTAACTATCTCTCTCCCTTCCTCTCTGTAAAAAATCAATAAAATATATTAAAAAAAAAAAAGAAAAGAAATCAAAGCTTTTTAGCCTGTGGACAAAAATGATTTTCTCCCAAACTTGTATAGTTACTCTCTTCATTGCCCTGCCCACTTTCTCTTTGCATAACACATTTTCAAAGACCCAGATGTTGCTGCTCATTTTATGAGAGTCGCCTCGTAGACTTTCCATCTTCTCTATACTTCCACTCATACAATCAATATTTTACTCACATTGGTGAAAGTAGCACCCGCATTGCTGACTCATATTTGTTCTTCTTGGTGATTTCTTTGCCCAAGCAATTAAATCTGAAACTCTTTGGGTTTAAAATCTCAAGGAAAGAGGACAGCCCAAAATGTTCCTTGTACAAATTTGAAGAAAAAACCCCACATTATTAAGAAAGTAAGGTAATTAAGCAAAGCTATCCCAGGTTGGCTAATGTGAAAATGAAATACTCAAAACTGCATTATGATTAATTTTAAACTGTCTGCTTTGATGATGTCAGTCTGTCCATTCTTCAATGCCATTTAGCTGTTGCTGGCATTTTGGTCTGGAATACATCAGCTATAACAGCAATTCTGATCTTAACACAGCAGCATAAAAATATCAATTTTCAGCTTTTTTCATGTTCTATATCAGTTGCTGCCACCTGACTACTGAAACTCACCTACACCTATCCTCTACTCCATACATTCCCCGTATTCTATGCTCCATCCACACTTCAAACGATACACACACTCTTGCCCTCACTCCATATCTGTCATTGTACTTTCATGCTTTTGTAATAGAATATCATAGACTGGAGGGCTTATCAGTGAAGAAATTATTTCCCACAGCTCTGGAGCCTGCAAAACCCAATATGAAGGCTCCAGCAAATTCTGTGTCTGGGGAGGGTCCACTTCCTAGTTCATAGACACTTCTCACTGGCTAAAGGGCTTTGTCACATGGCTAAAGGGCTAAGCAAGTTCTCTGGGGTCTCTCTTATAAGGGTGCTTAATTGCATTCATGAGGGCTCTGCCCTGATGACCTAATCACTTCCCAAAGGCCCCACTTCCAAAGACCATGACATTGGAGATAAGGTTCTAACACAACCTTTCAGTCCATAGCAACGCCTTACCTATACTCCATAACTTACCCGTATCTAGTATCTCATTTATACTCACTGCCTTACTCATAGTCCATATCCTTAGTCATACTCCATACTGTGCCTATGTTCTATACTCTACCTACACTCCATACCTTTACTCCTATTCTATAAGTTACCCATACTCAGGCCCTTCTTCATACTCCATGCCTTATGTTCATTTTTAAAAAAATATTGTGGTTAGGTACACAGAACATAAAGCTATCTTAACCATTCTTACATGTATTGTTCAGTTACCTATATATTTTTTTTACCTTACCCATACTTCATGCCTTACTTATATTTCATACCTTACTTATCTTCATACCTACTCATATTCTATACCTTATTTATACTCCATACTTCCCAGTATTTTATACATTAACCATATGCAGTAGCTTAGTCATACTCCATACCTTACTCATATTCCATACCTTACTTTTGTACTGTACCTTACTCAGACTCCATACTTTACTCCTGATACTTACCTCCCCAAATCCTTCATTATTTTTCTTTTAGTTATCCTAAGGATCTGATCACCGACTAGCTTAGAATTTTATTATGATTATGTAGAATAAATGAAGCATGAAACTGCGTTTTTATTCTATTAACACCAACTCACACGAAGCATGGGGACTCACCTGGATCAGTATTGTCATCATTCTTCTCCTTGGGAGATACTTGGGAAAGTATGAGGAACATGCTGAGGTTGTCTTCTATGCACACTCTGTGTGTGTGTGTGTGTGTGTGTGTGTGTGTGTGTGTGTGATGTAGGGAAAACATCTTGTGCAGTTTTCTGTGTTTAGAGAGCCCACATCACCAAAACATTCTATTTCATTTGATTGAAAGTATCTTTTAAAACCATCATGAAATAGTTCTACTTAACTTCGGAAAAAATGGAACCCAATCCATTTGGGATGGATTATGTAAGTTATTCTGAGTATTTCCTGGAGAAAATAAAAATAACAACAACAAAACTATACCTATAGATCTAGTGTAAATCTTTTATTTTGCAATTTAACTTCATGTTCTTTTGTCTCAGTAGACCTTCCTCAGTAAAAAAGAGATTATTTCTTAAAAAGCAGATTTACATACACAAAAACTATTATTTAAGGGCCTTCCAGATCCTTTGGTAATTATAAATCCTAGTTGTAGGGAAAAGATGTTCTTAATATTTAAAAAAATAAAGTGTAAACATTAATGATATAGTTTGATGTAAATATGTAATAGTTTGCTAGTTTAGCTAGAGGTGAGAGAGATGGCATGGCAGAGAACTTGAGCTGAAAAGGTGTTTTAGAAACCATATGCCTTGCAGAAACACTCAGGTAGCAATCCTTAGTTAAGTCATGTAATCAATTTCAGTTTTGCACAAGCCCAACACCCCATCTCGTGGAAGTTCCCGCAGCCAGTACGTTGTTTATACCAGCTTGGTCAGGGAGCCTGGCAATGGCACTGGTATATTTTACAATTATCATTCCAGAGATATGATGAACCCTGGAGTAATGTACTGTACTTGGCAGCAACTGCCTCAGCTTTTGAGCGCATATGCTTCAAATCTGAGAATATCATAGATATATATGGGAATCTTTGTAGAGATCTCTGAGGCAAGCTGGTATTTAACACAAAAGCAAACCCATTTGGAGCTAAAGCACTTTCCATTAGGCAGTTTGGCGGCTGTTCTACGAGGCAGACTCACTGTGCTCTACGGACACATTTCGATTAAATGCTGCTTTGTATTCCTCCAAAGATGGGAACAATAAGGACGTTTGTCAAAGGAAAAACTGCAGCAAACGATTTCATGTTGAACATCTGTACTCTGCAGTTCATTGTTTGCAAGAGTTTATGGACCATAATTTTGATGCATATAGGTTTTAAAGAGTATAAACTGCATTTATCTTGGGCGCCTATCATTTATTTTAGTCTTGGCTTATTTATTTCCATTTTTTTTTTCTGGGCATTTTATTTATTTTGGTACTCTGACGAGATGAAGGAAAAGATGATTCCAAAAAAGGAAGTTTAGTTAGCTTTGCAAAATTGATGAGGAAAGAAAATGTTTTCACCAAAAGGACTGAGCAATTGAATTGAAATATGTAACACTAAGCATATTATATCTTTATGATACCTTTCAGCCTTAAAAGATCTCCAACCAATTTACAAACTTTAAGAACACTCTCCTATCTCATTGTCCATCGTACCAATCACAGTGACTTTTCCATAGTGACTTTAGTAGCAGCTGTTAATTAACAAAGTAATTTGAGGATAGTGGAGTCAGAAGACTAATTAATGGCATTGTGAAGGTGAGCCTGCCTGGAGTTGTCTTCTTTCACTTTATAAATGGATGGCCCATTTTTAGAAAATGAGAGCTTTCTTTTCTGCATTTTATTCAGGGAAACCATGGCCCAGGCAATTCAAGTTGCTAAATCTTTATCAGTCATGATTTGAAGCATTGCTGAAGTCTTGATCAATTGGCCTAACTTTGTCCTCACATAAAATATAGAACCTTTGCATAGAAGAGAGGCAGAGCCAAAAAACTGACCACCTAGGAAGACAATGGCATTTCTTTCTTGAGAGACATTTAATAATAAATTAGTGGAGATACAGCAGTGGTTAAGAATGCTAACTTTGAAATTAGGCAAATTTGGGCTATAACCCCAGTACTAAGTAATTTAACATCTTATGAGCCTATTTCCTATTACCTAAATAATATAGATATTAAAATATTTTATACGTTTTTATGAAGCTTATTTATAATGTACATATAATGTATTTATAATGTATAGAAAGCACAGTGTCTGGTTAAGCTTTCAATACATGTTAGCTGTTATTATTGGATTATTTGGTTCTAAGACTTGTCTAAGACTTAATCTGATCCTGATGGATTTAGTAACCTCTTTAATTCAAAAAATAAGTTTCCTTTATTGTCCAGTTGCCTCTCTATAGAGAAGACTCAAATGGATTAGTCTTGAGTAGGTAACTAACATTTACTTTTTGTTTTTGTGTTCATTCGTAGGGTGTACTCAGGCAGAAACTCGAGATGGTTATGTGAGCTTCTCCAACTTGGCAATTTTGATCTCTGGGTCAAATTGGCACTTTCTTTTTACTGTCACTTCCCCTCCAGGTAATTTCAGCACTGTGTGTTTTATTATCTGTTTGTTTTATTTAAAAAATAGCCCCTTCTCCTTTGTCATTGGAATAGCTCTTATCATGAATAAGGAGTCATGTAAGTTTAGAGAAAAACATCAATTGATTATATTATTAAGGTGTGAGAAGCAAGAGCACATGTAGAAATTAAGTCTCAGGAGAATCCTGGTAAGCAAGAATCCAAATGTCCATTTTCCTCTAGTTGTTAAAATTTTCTTTGAATTTTCTACTTTATAAAAATATATATATGAGACATTTGATAGCATTGGGTTGGATACTAATTAGAAATTTTAATTTACAGAAAAAAAAGAGTCCTGGGATACAGAGTATTATGAATTCTTTCATTTCTGCCCTCACCCACTGCCCGCCTCCCCCCAAATAGCAACTATACCCATTTAAAATCCTTTTGTTTGTTTTTTTTTAGAAATATAGATATTAGCATGTGTTACTTGCTTATATGCTTCAGTCCTTCTTGAAAAAACATTAAAAAGAAATTTCCCTTCTGAAGTATTCTTAATAATTTTTATTTGTTAAAAAGTAATGCTATCCAACAAGTTTATAGTAGGAAACATGTTAATTAAACTTCAAAGCCAGAGGAGCCTATGTAAAATACCTCTCTCTCATTCCCATGAAGGGTAGAGCTTAGCGTCCAATTTCCTCCATCCTCTTTTTAAAGAGTTGAATTCTGATAGAAACACAGAGCTTCCCACTTAAAAAAATAATTTAAATATCGCATGCATTATTTGACTTTCCAGAAAATCCACCTAAAATAATTTGTAAAATACTAACATTGCATTTGAACTGAAAGGTAGAAATTTACAATCAATTATTAATTTTGGCCAGGGAAGTTAGTCTGATTCCTAAAACATACAACTGTAGAAAGCAGTTCATGTACAGGTGTGATAATTCAAAGTTTTGTAAAATGCATTAGAGCAGTCATTATTTCATTGGGACCTCTTAGATATTGGAAATGGCAAAGGAAGTAAAATGTGTTGATGTGAGGTATCTTAAGCCCAACAACAAATATTTAATTAAATCCAGACATTAGTCTTCCATCATGAAGCATTCAAACTGTCATAGTAAACTTTTCAATACGTTAAAAATGTGGCTTTCATAAAAATATGTAAAGAGCACTTGTCAACAGTTATTGAACTCATAATGAGGGATCCAGGAGGACAGCAAAGCTGTTAAATTACATGTGAGGGATGTAGATCAACCAGGAAGGAGCTGCTGACATAAGTTTGTTAAATTGGATACAGGACAATAAAACTATAGCCTTTGAAGTTAGATGTCTACAGATATCCTGTGCATCTTTACTGGACAAAAATCATTTGCAGCTTACCAATCTTGTATTAATTAAGCCTGATCCTCAATTAAATATAAAGTAAAAAAAAAAAGAAGTATGTTCCAGAGAATTTGATAAATCTTTGATGGGCCTATTTGAAAATGCTTCAAAATGACATTGATAAGATCTGAAATCAGGTTTTTCCTTAATTCCAAGATTTGGACCATTTTCTTCACAAAGGGAATATCTTCTGTGGTCAAGTAAACAATTATTATTAGTTGTTTTAGGAAGATATTCTTTTAATATCTATGACAGTGTCCTAATTTAAGTAGAGGTTCATGGGGAAACATGATCAGGGTCCTTGACCATGGGATTCCCAAGGATATATTTTGAAGGATAGTTTGTCCTAGAGACTTTTGTCTTTTAATTTCCTTGGTGGTTAACTAAGACTGAACATTTTATGAGGATTATTTTAAGGAATAAGTTATAAAACCAAGTGTACAATGTGGTCCAGCTTCTCAGTAACACTTTGACTTTGAGTTGAGCTTGGTGTTCACTTTGACTAGGTCACTAGTTTACCTTAGGTGCCACCTGTAACTTGTAAAGTAGACTGCTGAGGGATTACGGTTTTTCTTTAGCCATTTTCCTTAAATCATAATTCATAATTTTCAATATCAAGTCTGTGAGGTGGGGCTCTGTCAGAATTAGATTACAAACATTTAAATTAGCCCAGCTGGTGTGGCTCAGTGATTGAGCATAGACCTATGAACCAGGAGGTCACAGTTTAATTCTTGGTCAGGGCACAGGCCCAAGTTGCAGGCTCAATCTCCAGTCAGGGGCGTGCAGGAGGCAGCCAATTAGTGATTCTCTCTCATCATTGATGTTTCTATATCTCTCTCCCACTCCCTTTCTCTGAAATTATTAAAAATATATTTTTTAAAAAGTTTAAATTAGAAGAGAGTAGATGGAAGATAAAAAGAAAGCATTAAAAGGCCTTCATTTCTGTGAATCCTTATTGTCTTCACGTTTCATGTGTTTAAGTTTTATTCCCATTCCCTCTCCTTTGGCAACCATCAGCTTGTTCTCTATACTATAGATAGATATGCTTCTGTTTTGTTTATGTATTTGTTTTGTGTTTTTAGATTCCACGTACAAGCGAAATCAGAAGATATTTGCCTTTCCCTGTCTGACTTACGTCACATAGCATAATACTCAATAGGTCCATCCATGTTGTTGCAAATGGCAGGATTTCATTCTTTTTTATTGCTGAATAATATTCCATTAGATATATCAAATCTTCTTTCTCAATTCATTTATTAAAGGCCAACTAGATTGCTTCCTTATCTTGGCTATTGTCAATAATGCTGCAATGAACATAGGGGATATATAGTTCTTGGGATAAATACCCAGGGGTGGAATTGCAGGATCATATGGCAGCTCATCTGTTAATTTTTTTGAGGAATTTTCATACTGTTTTCCACAGTGGCTTCACTGGTTTGCATTCCCACCAACAGTGTACAAGGATTTCCTTTCTCCACATTCTTTCCAGCACATCTTATTTGTTGATTTATTGATGATAGCCATTTTAACAGGTGGAAGGTGCTATCTCATTGTGGTTTTAATTTGACATCATATTAAGAGTGAAGATACTGAGAGTAACTCCTTGTTTCCCACTATATCAATTTCTAGTGCTGGAATCATTTGGGAAAGCAGCTCTTATTCCCATATCGATAGGACCATCAGTACCAGGCAGTTTTGAGAACCAAGGCTCTGGATTTCCTAACCATTTCTTGGAGCTATGAAGTTCTTAGGGGATCCCCCATGGGCTTCTGTGCTGGGAAGAGAGTGAGGGAACCAAGGATGCTTTCCGCCATCAGCCCAGAAAAACTATTGCAGTTGCCATTTCCGTGCCTGAAGTACTCTTGCTCCAGAAATTCACATGGCGTATCCTCATTTCACTCAGGTTTCTTCCCGCTGACACCTCCTCAAAGAGGCTTTTCTGTACCATGTTCTCTACAGCACCGTCCCCAACCCTGTTCCCACCTCCAGTTATTTTGTCTTCCAACCTCACTTTAGTCCTTGTGGCACCTCCCACTACCTCCCATCAGAGTATCCCTGGATTTGCTTGTTTGTCTACTGTCTGTGCCCTGTGCTGCATTAGAATGTAAGTTCCAAAAGACACAGGGATCCTAGTGAATTCTGTTATATTCTCAGGGTGTAGTGAAACATCGCACCTCATAGGCACAAAGATTTATGAACAAGTAAGTATACTGAGATTATGTCTAAGATTGCATTTTAAAAAAATGTTCTGCTGCTAAAAATATTTGGAAACTGGCGGTCTGCAATCTTAGACCCAGGTTACTGCTCTAGGCATGTAAACAGGTCTCCCTGACTTCAGGCCCTCAGAATTTTCCCTTCTATAAACTTCATTGCCTTCAGAATACAGTTAAGAGCCTTTTTGACTGACATTTAATGCTCAGCAAATTTTGTCTCAAGTTCTTTTGAGCATTAATTCCCAGTATTTTCCGGCATTAATTTCTTAAATATCAATTGATCTTTTCTTCATTCTGTCTTCATTTGCTCAACCTTCAAAGTCCCACTTAGATACTCTCTTCTCTGGTATGCTTCTTCTGATCATATCAATGCCAGTATCCTTCCAAAGCAAATCATTTGCATTATTCGGTGGCATGTGTCACATTCTGTCTTTTTATTACAAACATTTGTATGTATATCTAATTTCATTTACAAGCTTGTAAATACTTTAAGAATGAGAACAATAACTTATCCATTGAGCAAAGATAATAATCACTGAGCAATCATTGGAAAATGGATAAAAGAATGAGGAATTTTGTTTTTACTTCTGCAAATCCCTAGTAAAACCTATTCCCCATATCCGGGCTGGATTTATTTTATTCTGATGCCCATAAAAAGAAACTAATTGATAAGAAACAAGCCAAGTTTGTCTTCAGTAGAACCATATCTAGCTAATTTGGTTATGGTACCTTTGGGACTGAGTCAGCCAGGAGTCAAGAGACTAAAGATCTGACCGTGGCTGTCAATCAAATTGTCAAGTTCAACCCAAGAAAAGCACAGCAAAGAAAAACATGGTGTTTCCCTGACTAGAGAAAATAAAAACTATTATTGTCTGAGTGATTCAGATGAAAGAAGAGATTTTGGATTGATTTGTTTGTTTTGAATAAACTACTTTAATGCCAACTATAACTAACTCGTGTTCTTAGGCAAGGTTTTTTTTTGTTTTGCTTTGTTTTTTAATTGATTTCAGAGAGGATGGGAGAGGGAGAGAGAGATGGAAACATCAACGATGAGAGAGAATCATTGGTTGGCTGCCTCCTGCATGCCCCCTATTGGGGATTGAGCCCTTAACCCGGGCATGTGTCCTGACTTCCAGGATTCAAACCCCGAACTCCTGGTTTATAGGTTGATGCTCAATAACTGAGCCACACCAGTTGGCCAGGCAATATTTTTTTCTAAATATTTTATTTTTATGAGCTAAAATGGACAGGATAAACTAATCATTTTTAAAACATGCCATTTGATAATTTTTGTTGAATGTATATTTCAATGAAACCCTTCCCACAATTAAGATAAACATATTTATCACCTTCCAAATTATAGACAAACTTAAAATTTTCATACTTAATATAATATCCAGTAAAATTTATCTTTTTGGTATATATTTTTATGACTTCAAATACATGTATAGATTCATGTAATCACCCCCACATCAGGATACAGAAAATATCCTTCAAAAAATTTTCCTTATGCTTTCCTCTGTCCTCACACCCTCTCCTCCCACTGACACTAATCCCTGGCAACCACAGATCTGATTTCCATCGCTATAGTTTTATCTTTTCTAGAATGTCATATAAATGGAATCATTCAATGTGATATGGGCTTCTTTTACTCAGTATAATACCTTGGATGGGAAGGAAGAGTGGGGGAAAAAGTGGGAACAGGGGCTTGGCGGGAAACCTCCGTGTCTTTATGCTTGGCGCTGCGCCCTTACCAATAAGATATAATACTAATCCGACGCAATCATCCTCCTCCTCCTCCTCTTCTCTCCTCCTCCTCCTCCTCATAATCCTCCTCCTCCTCCGCCGCCTCAGCCTCCTCCTCCTCCTAATCCTCCTCCTACTCCTCCTTCTTCTTCTTCTTCTTCTCTTCTTTCTCTCTCTCTCTCTCTCTCTCTCTCTCTCTCTCTCTCTCTCTCTCTCTCTTTCCTTCCATCCTCCCTCTCTTTTCCTCCTCTTTCTTTTCCTCCCCCCCCTCTCTTCCTTCATTTCTCCTTCCTTCTTCTTATTTTTCTTTTTCTCTTTTTGGCTGAGTAGTATTTCATCATCTGGATAAACCACAGTTGATTTTTTCATCCCCCTGTTGAAGAACATTTGGGTTGTTTCTGAGTTTGGGTGATTATGAATAGAGGTATTATAAATATCTGTGTACATATTTTTATGTGTATAGACAAGGTGTTTTTTTTAGATTCTTTTATGCTTTGTTTCAAAATAATAAGGGAGTAAGCAGTCAAAATGTTAAGCCTATTACAAGTTTGAGATGAAGTCTTAGAAAAATTCACTCCGTAGAGTTACCCACTTTGTTCCATCTTTCATAGCCAAGTGGCTCAGCTACCATGCTCTACCTCCACTTTTCCAGATAACAAAATTTGCAGTTCTCTTGACATTTGAAGTTCTCTTGACCCTGTAGTAAGAGTCTTGGTGCCATGTCTTTTTGCTACATGCCATATTTTAAGTAGGATACATATGTCACAGCAAGTAGCTTCACACATTCTAGAACTCAGAGAATTTCTATTTTAATTAATGGAACATAAGAATGAAACTGAAATTTTGCATTGGTGGAGAAGGTAAGACAGAATAAAAGGGAAGAATTGGAAGAATTCCTCATCAATGTTTGACAAATTAGAGAGAACAATTGTAAGCTGTCATTGGAATTGGATTCCTGTAGTTCTTTAACAATAGAAATCTTGAATTAATTTTAGGTTCATTTATTTTGTCATTTAATTCAATAAATATTTATTAAACCTACTAAGTGTTGTAAGCATATTTTCCCACAATGTTATATTAGCACAGTTATTATTGAGACTTTTTTTTTTTTACAGGAACCAATTTTACGACTCGATCCAGGCCATTCGCCATCTCACCTGTGACTCGGTCAGAGAAGTCGACCATCATCCTGTCTGCCTCCCTGTGCTCAGTGGTCTCGTGGCTGACTCTTTGCTGTCTGGTGTGCTGTTGGTTTAAGAAAAGCAAAAGCAGAAGTATGTAGTTTTTTTTTTTTTTGAATGAAAATACTGGAGGAACAATGCCATTATGTATAACATATTAGCCTTTCTTTTACTTCCCCAAAGAAAAGCATTTATGAACTTTTGCAACATATTAAGCTACATGTAGCTAATTTACTTAATTCATACAGTAAAGATAAGAATTGCCTAATCTTAAATAATAGTAGCAATACTACTAAAAGTTCAAATTTATTGAGCACTCGCTATAGACCAGGGTCTAAGTACTTTAGATACGTGAATTTATCTAATATTCATAACAGCCCTATAAAATAGGTACCAAATACTATGTCTATATTATGGAGGTGGACAATGAGGCCCAGAAACACTAAGTTACTTACCCCACGGTCCACAGTCAGGAAGAAGCCAGGCAGTTTGGTTCCAGATCTTATTCTCTGAAATTCTATGCTCCACTGCCCAGGGAACCCTTCAAAGATGAGTCTGGGAAGGGGAATGCCCTCTTCTCCTTCAAAAGAGGGAAGAGAGTGCTTAGTGTTTTATTTTTGTTTTCTCTAGGAGCATAGAAATTATGCTCTTAGACATTTTCCCATAATCAGCGCTCTCTCTCTCTCTCTCTCTCTCTCTCTCTCTCTCTCTCTCTCTCCATGGAAAAATCACTGAGGAAAAGAAGTTCTGTAAAAGAGGCTTCTTTCTATCTTTTATTCTGTTCTTAGAGTGTGGGAGAAAGAAAAGCAAATCCCTTACTCTACCCAACCTAAACTCTCAGCCAATGAGTGGGTGAAACACTTGTGATAATAGGAGGTATTAGGAAACCAAATAGATATGAGTGAATATATAGAGGTAAAGTGAGGAGAGGCAAAGAGAGAAAGTCGAAATAAAGGAAGGAGAATGGAAGAAGCTTGGTGACATGACTGGAATATTCACTATTTCAAACCAGCTTCAGACATCCCTATCTCTCTCCTTGTCATGATGGGTCTGGGCAAACTACAAGGAAACTTCAGGATTCCTGGTCTTTCTTAGGAAGAACAAGATCTCCTCACCCTGCGTAGGTGCCAGTGATATTTTGAACCCCAAGTTTTGGTCTTTGTTTTCAAATCTAAAGTTCATTGTGCTTGTGTGTGTTGCTTTCCTGTTTGAAAGCAAAGACCTTTCATAATTTTTAATCTCATGTGACTCTGTGAAGTAATTTAATTCTCATCTTCCCTTTTATAGCTTAACTTACCAGCCTTGGAGGGACATACACTAAACTCTGTTCACCCCATTTCTTCTCTTTTGTTCCCCTAGGTCTAGAGGAAGCTTCTTTCTACAGTTACTAATCTATCAGTTACCCAGTGTCCTCTTTTTGTTCTTTGAACTTTTCAATATCTATGGGCACATTTCTCTGTATTAAATTCTCTTATTGTTCTGTGTGAACATAGACTCCTAAATTTCTATTTAAAAATTTAAAGTGATCAGGAGGAACTTTATGCGGGGGGTGGGGTGTGGGGTGGGGGGATGTATGCAGTAGTCAGCTCTTTATATATTTTCCTGTACTTTTCAAATGGCTAAAATTAACATTTTAGAATAAAGAAAATTGTTCTCCCTGAATGTTTCTTTGCAACTTCTTGTGAATTTATAATTATTTCAAAATAAAAGGTTAAAAAATATTAGTAACATTCTATGCCAGCTCGGTCCAATAAAAATAAAACATGAGTCACAAATGTGAGGCACATAATGTAATTTTCTAGAAGCCACTTAACCCAACATATCAAAATTTATTTCAACATGTAATAAACATTAAAATGTTATATATTTTACTTTTGTTTTCAAAATTAGGTGTATATTATACATTTAAAGCACATCTCAATGCTAACTAGTCACATTTCAGGTGTTCAGTAGTTGGTAGTCAGGGTTGGGATTTTGTTTCTTTATTTCTCTGGATTTATTATATGCATTCTATTGCATCTATTTCACAATCATTTTGGGAGGCATCCAAGGAAATATCTTAACACTTAGGGCCCATTTACAAATAAAAATGTTATTTTATTCTGAAAAAAACAACAACAACAAGAAACATGCACTTCCTTTTCTCATTAATTTAGAAATAAAGAGTGAAGATATTTCTGCATCCCAGACTAATGATCAAAAGAATCATGTCCATGTCTCATCTAAACGCCAAGGATCACAGCCAGAGACTGAAAAAGAGGACCCCATCGTGGGAGAAGGTAAGCTGGGACAATGGGGTGATCCCCACCAGAGACACGAAGTGTGGATGACCCATAGCCTTCCTCTCTCCCTGGCTGTCAGTTTCTGAATGAACTTAGCATATAGGCCTTTCTTTCAGTCTTTGTTATTTCTCAAGAAATTATACCCTAGCAGAGGAATCTGCAAGGATAGCTGATCACTCATCTATTAACCAGTTATTAAATTTGATATTTATATTTTCTTACTTAGTAGAAGATTATTGGCTTACCATTTGAATTTGTTACACAGAGAAAGGGAAAACCAGAGTTGAGGCATAGAATCTTTCCCTTAGCTATTGCAAAGCTGCCAGTTTGGCAACAGTATTGAATTCGGGACAGAAGAGAGTGTAGCTGCCAAATACCAACTATGCAAATTAGATTGAATATAGAACCCTCAAGAAATGAGTCAGCTTTGTCAAGTTCTGCTCTGTTGCTTAGTTGTTCTTTTAGCAAAATGGATTATCTGCTTACGTTGTACACTATACCAAATGACTGCTTGTTATATTGTTAAATTGCCATTAGATTGGTGCCAAGCAGACAAAAGATAGGTATTTGCCTCAAACCAATGTTTTGCCCTTGTCCTTCTAAGGATAAAGAAAAGAGAAAGATAGTGGACATATCACAAAATCCATTTGCCAATAGATGTGGTGTATGAAAAATATTCACATCATTTCCATGGATCTAAAACATTTTGAAACATATGCTCTAAAGAGAATATTTCTATTTTTTCTAAGTAATAGCCAATTATCATGTTTTCTGCTTGAAAAGGAATATGAATCTTAATGGTTCTGAGTGCATGCTTAACCAAAAAATAGTAGTCCAATGTTGTTCTGCCTCAATCTAACTAGTTCAATGAATTCTGGTGTGTGTGTATGTGTGTGTGTGTGTGTGTGTGTGTGTGTGTGTGTGTGTGTATCAGTTTGTTTGCCTGTTTGTATTTTTTCCCATGGAGAAAATGAGGTTATTTTTATTTTTTAACAAATTAGTCAGTTATACTTCAGCTCCTGGATATGCCCCAAAAGGTGGAGGGGGAGGTTAGGGGAGTGGGGGGGGGGCGGGGTGAGAAGAATGGAGAGATAGAGAAGGGGAATTCTTTCTATATTCCATCTGATACTGCTTTAACTTTGGCTTCTGGAAGTCTATATTATTGCATGCAAATTCAGGACCAGTATTTCAAAACAATCATCTGAACTCAGCTCTGTGAATGAAGGATAGGGTATTTAGCTCTATTCTTCAGGGAATGGCAACAGTGATGCTAATCTCTCCCCTAATCTAATATGGCCATTTCTACATGAATCTCAGTTGCCCTGCTGAACTTAACTACATTAGACAGTCCACAATGCCTGGGTGTTTTATTAGGGAACATTTTTTATGTGGTGGCTTATTAATAAATTATCTGGAGTGAGACAAGGGACAGGGCTCCTGTGGAAGGGTTTAGATGGAAGAGATGGGAGTGTCAGAGAGGCCATTTTATTAAGGCATCCGAGTTAAAAATAGAAAGATGTGTTGTATGAATCCTCCCCTGGGGATCATAGCAGATTTTTTTTCCTCGTCTTTTAAGGTTTGTCCAAATCTAAAGAGCTTTGTTTCCAAGGCAAGTAATGAGGCATCTCCTGCTTTTCTTTGAAAATTATTACCAGCTACATAACACCTAATTATCGCTAGCTTTAAATAAATGTGGTGTTATTTCATTATTTCCATAGCACTTTAGTGTCCCTGTTCCCTCTGTGTTTTTAAACTTTCAGCATTTGCTAATAAAGTAATTGTCTATCTCTCTCATAAGCCCTTTGCATTCACTAAGCATTGCCATAGGTCTAAAATTATTTAGCGGATGGAATTATTTCTGCTAATTATTTCCAGTAGATTTAGACTGTAAACTCACCATGTTATGGCTTTTACCAAGAATTGTATGGATGCAATCTGCGGGGATCTAGAGAGCTGTCATGGGGAAAGAAGGGAGTGAAGCATATATCCTTCTTATTTCACTGTTACCAACCAGGTTTTGGACATTACAGAGCCATCTGAGCCGGCTTTTAAAATTCACATTTGCTCTTGTCACTCTGCTACTCAGGAGATTTAATGAGTTTCCACTGTCGATTGGAGAGGCAGGAGAATGTGACAATTCAGGACATGAAACTCAGAAGTCAGATGAATGGGGTTTCATCCTGATTCTCTTGTTGACGTACTTTGTGGCCTCAAACAAGTCCACTGGCCTCTCTGTGCCCTTCAGTTTTCTCATCTGTAAAGCTGGCAAAATACTGCCTACCTTTAGGGTGGTTGTACCGATGAAGTGAGTCAAAATCAGTAATGAATGCAGAACAAGTCAGGTGTTATTTACTGTTGTTTTAAACTGTTACTTAAGACTGAAAGCCCTTCAAAACCTTACTCTGTCCTGCCTTCCAAATCTTAGTTTGGATTTCACCTTCCTGCCCCCTGCTTATACCAGTACTCACCACGCTAGCTCACTCATCCAGGGACTTGTGTAACACCTTCCCACCCACTTGCTTGCACAATTGCTTCCAATTGGATGGCTTGTCTTCACCTGTTAAAATCTACTCAAGCTTTTGTGCACCGCCTGAAGTGCCTCCTTATTTTTAAAAGTCTTCCCCAATCCTCTTCACCTCACTGAAAATGAGTATTTTCTCTGTGGGTTCCAAGCATTCTAAAGGCGTGCCTCCACAGTAGTACTTATGATTTTTGGAGTTCATTGCACATAGATGGCTCTCTGTTCCCCCGGGTCAGTGGTTCTCAACAAGGGGCAATTTTGTTCCCCAAGTAGGGTGGCAAACGCATCCTGGTTTTCAGAACTTTCTTAGTTTTAACCTTCAAAGTTTTGTGTCCCAAGAACTCCCTCAGTCCCAGACAAATTAGGACAGTTGGTCATTCTACCTTCAGAAGACATTTGCAATGTCTGAAGACATTTTTGTGTCACAGCTTGGGGGAAGGGGATACTGCTGACATCTAGTGAGATCAGAGATACTGTAAACATCGTACAATGCACAGGACCACCTACACAATAAAGATCACTGGACTTAAAATTGTCAATAACGCCAAGGTTGAGAAATGCTGGCAAAAGCTATTACTCATCTTTGTAACATTTAAGTGAGAGACTTCTGGAATGACTTAGTGGAGGCAATTAGATTTTATCAACCAATAAATATATAAGTATTTATCTACCTCCTGATATTTATTTAGTACCTTATAATGTCCTCTCCATGCAGTTACAAAGCTGTGATATCAGGTCCTCGGTCCTTTATAAGCTTCAGATATTGTTGGGACACAAGCATAATATTTTAGGGAAAATGAAAGAATTCTGAGCAAAAATGATTAACTCCAATGCAATCACATCAACAAGGTGTATTTGAAGAATTTAAAGGAAAGAGAAAATACCAAAAGAGAGAAAGAATATCATTATTCTATGTTACATGTTTAGTTCCTCTAGCTCCTACATTATACCACACAGTTTCATCTCATTTGCTAGGGGCTTTGGTTGTGTGGTTTGCACAAACCCAGGTTTACAGAAATGCCAGGACGGGTGTCAGCTTTGCTTTGTCAATGTTCAATTTTTGTATCGCTCCTCAACTGTTCCCTTTTCTCCTAATTTGGTGAAGGGCCCCCAAATCTCCTACACCTTGGAATTAACTTTAACCTTTACCACTGCATGCCTTTATTTGCCAAGTTTTATCAATTCCACCTTTGCCATGTCTGCTTTTTGTCTTATGCTCTAGTTCATGGGTATATCTTTAGTTCAGCCTCAGTTAGAACACTCCTTGATGTCCATACCTCCACACCCCATCGCGTTTCCCTCCAAGAGAGTATACCCCAAACACAACATAGCCTCCCAGTTTCAAAATTCACACCTTCATTATTCACTCAACAATAGTTAGCAATGGTCTCTCAGTCTAACACCCTATTTACCCACATATCTAATATGTTCCGTTCCTTCCAATCACAGGTCAAATATTTTTTCTCTTTTTCAAATTCTCTTATGTAAAAGGGATAGTCTTTTTCTGTCAACTTTTATAACACTTTCCTCTTGTTCACTTAACACCTTTTATATGCAATGTAATTATTTGTGTTCATTTTGTCCAGATTCTATCCTATAAATTCTGTATCTTTTCTAATCCCCAAAGCACTTTTATGATAGGATGTTACAATATAGACCACTGATGACTATTGTTAAGCGAATGATGAAGATAGAGATGAAATTCCAGCAGTTCTTTGAACTGTTGGGAAAAAAAGAAAACTTTATATTTTCTAAAAGAGATATAAAAAGTTTATTTAGGTTCACAAAATTAATATTAGGATAGCGATTGCACATATTTTGCAATCTGTGACTTCCTGCTTCCAGACGCTGCTTTCTGCTGGCTGCCTTAGGTTCATGCCCCAGCTTCCTTACCACCACTTTTGCCTTTGTCTTTGCAGGAAGATACTGCTGCGTACCTCAGGGCTGTCTTCTCCAAATTACACACTGATCTTTGGCCACTGGTCCTTTATAAAATATATATATGTATTATTTTTTATATAAATATATATGTGTGTGAAATCAGTGGGAATGGAAAACAAATATAAGAATGGCACCATCAACTTCAGAGATTCATTTCTACCATTTTAGAGTCCTGTTGACTATATATGGTGTGTTTTGTGAATGTAAAATATAAAGGACTATCAGTGTCCTTTTAAAGTACAAAGCTATGAAAACAACAGGGAGTGGGGAAGAGAGGGAAGGGTTCAAGATGTCTGGAGTCAGGGAAAAACAAAACATCTCAGGATTAGAAGTTGTCATAAATTCCCAGAAAGTAAAATTATATTTGGAACTTATTAGTAAATAGCATGTCCATGTTATATAATAAAAACGTAAACATCTCCTAATTTAAAAACATGACTAAAATCTAGCACTTAATTCCTTAATAAAACTGTTTTAAAGCAACCAGGAATAAGAGCCTGCCTGCTAACTAAGATGGAGAGTTCCAATGCTATTT